CTTCACCAGGAATACATTATATTTTAAAGTATATTAAAATAGGAAACCAATATTAGAAATTGCAATAGCCTAATAGTTCACAATATTAGGTTTTTTTTCTGTATTTTTGATCAAATAAATACAGCCTTGATGAGCATAAGTGACTCCATTAAAAAACAAGGTGAATTAGTTATTAGGTTAATAATATAGGCCTAACATAATATATAATATAATATCAAAAAAACTGAAGCATTTAAACTGAGATCTGCAAGTTAAATATAAAAAAAAAGAACGTGAACATCCCTATGAAGTACAGTCTGCACAATACACCTGTGTGTGACTGTAAATGTCTCTGAGTTTTGTTACCGTTCTGTGCCCATCATCCGCTATTTCCAGCACTTAATCAAGCCACTCTTCTTTATAATACGAGGACGTTTTATTTCACGTCATTGCGTTGGCTCTAGATTTGAGCTATTTCTTCGGCAACCACTGAAGTATTCGGTTTCTACAGCGACTCATTTGGTGCACATCATTCTCTTTCTATGAAACCTGTAAACCGCATTCACCGGTTCTAACTGTATAGCGAAATCAGCTTTATAGTGGTTTACCTGATCATTGCAATTCTTTCATTTTTACTAGAATACAATCAAATGGCTTTCCCAACTCATCTTTGCGTGTGCACGGCACATTGTTTCTTTGCGCAGCTTAGAGGGAACATAAGATGTAGAATATGGTCACGCATAATAAGGCATTAGTATGTGCTTTATGAGTACTAATAAAACGCTAATATAGTAATATGCAAGCAACTAGTTAATAACTAAAGTGTTACATTAAATAAATAAATGTTTGTGTGTGCGCGTGTGTACGTATATACAGTATTGGCTAGCGGCAGCTGGCACTCCTTATGTGTGTGTATGTTCTTTATGGGAAAATGCTTATGCGATTTAGCTTTGGGTTCATATTCTGATCGCATCTGCTTGCTGGTATATAATATGCGTCATCAAATCTTTTATTTAAAAAAGTGTAGTTTACAGCAGAAACGGCGACAAACGATCGTGACTCCTGGCACGAACTCTGGCAGCTGATACATACAAATGTATTACATTTACATTTAGTCATTTAGCAGACGCTTTTATCCAAAGCGACTTACAAATGAGGACAATAGAAGCAGTCAAAACTAACAAAAGAGCAACAATATATAATTGCAAATGACAAGTCTCGGTTAGCCTAACGCAGTACACGTAGCAAGGTGTATATTGGCACAATAATACGCCGTTTACTTGCAGAACGCAAGCTTCTAGAGGACACATAACTCTGAAGTAATGAATTTAGGTAAATGGGTGCAGAGCCAGTGGTGGTTTTGTAGGCAAACATTAATGCCTTGAATTTATAATTAAATTTGTATTATATTACTTGTATTATAATAATAATAATAATAATAATAATAAAATTGTGGGAACTTTGCATCATCATTTAAATAAAAAAAAGCACCACCGCACGCCACTGAGAACAGTGTAGTTTTTACCGAGCAAACAGCAGAAACGGCGAGAAAGACCGTGGCAGCTGCCGGAGGAAACCCGTGGCACCCGACCCGAGGCCACCGGAAGTGGCGCTGCGACCTGCCGCTGCCAGGATTTGCGCTTGCTCTCTCTCAATATATATGAATTTTTATATACGGGTAGTTGACAGATTTAGTTAGTAATTTAAATATTTTTACAAGGGACAATTGATTATTTATTATTATTATTCACCATATTCACCATTCTACAGTAAAACAAATTAATTTGTTGTCTTTGCTGTCTAGAAATAAAAGACTGACCTTTCTGACCTTTT